GTGTGGTGTTTTTATGTGTTGGGTAAATCAACACTAAAAAAAAAATTAAAGGGGAGTGTTGTTTTAAAACAACAAATATATCATTTATTTCAATTTAAAATAAATTAATACTTTGAATAATATTATTATATTGTTGTATTATAATAATTATGATTATTTAATCTTGAGTATAAATTTTAGTTAATATTATATTTAGTTGTCTATATAATTGATATTAACATTGGGCTTCACCAATACATAATGAGTTGTTTGGAATGCTGTTAATATCATCAGAATAGGTGGCTTCTAAAATCATTTCAAAATCTTTGAATCTATTATCATAATTATTTATATTATTGTTTGTATTGGGTTTGGTGATTCTATTATTATTATTGTTATTATTATTATTATTATTTGGATTAGGGTTGTCCTCTCTTAAATTGTTAAATAAAACTCTAAACATTAGCGGAATCTTTCTACTTCGTAAGCTATTATTAATTTCTAAAATTTTAATTTCAATTTTATTTCTCTAAAAATTTAAATAAAATTAAATTAGTATTCAAATAAAAAATCTTTTTTTTTTTTTTTTGATAACCTACATATTTATTTTTCCAATTTGAAAAAGTTAAATAGCAAAATAGAATTAAAAATAAGACTGCATTAACTGAAACTATTATTATTGAAAGTAGTCTTAAGTCAAGGATTTCAAAAAGAACAAAGAATACAGGCAGCATGGCAACCCCCAATAATACATCAATGAAAATTAAAAACCTCATTAAAAATGGATTCTTTAGTTTGTTTATTTGTTTAATAAATTGTCTGTATTCATCTCTTGATATTAGACTTGTTAATTCTTGAGGTACATTCTTATCAAAATAATTGAAAAACCTATCCCTTGGAATGATTTCTAAAATCTTTGATTTATTTTCATTTAATTCAATTTCTTCCATTTCCTATTATCATAAATTATTATTATTATATTGTTATTGTTATATTATTATTACTATTTTTTATTATTGTTATTTAAAATAATTTATCATTTCATTGATGATTTCTAAAAAATAAAAAATATTTATTAATATATTATTAATTAAAATTGTTGTTGTTATTGTTGTTATTGTTTTATAATGGTTTTTATTACTAAAGGTGAGAGGAGTGTGTGTTTTTTTTTATTTGTTTTATTTTTTATTTGTTTTTTTATTTTATTTATTTTTTATTTGTATTTGTAATATTATTGTGTTTGAATGTAATTTAAAAATAAATTAATTTAAATTAATTTATCATTTAAATAATTTTTTTTATATTATTTTATAATTTAAATAATATTTTATTATTATAAAAAATATGAAATTATAATAAAAAAAAAAAAAAAAAAAAAAATTGTCTGAATGGGAGTGGGAGTGGGGGTGTTACGCGAATATCTAATTTCATAAATATTCGAAACTACAAAAATAAAAAAAAAGAAAATAATTTTAACTCAATAAAAAATAAAGTTTTTTTTTTGATTTCTAAATACCTTTAATTAAAATAAAATTTATTATTAAATTTAATAATTTAATTTTATAAAAAAAAATAAAAAAAAAATAATATAAAACTATTTTACCTTTTTATTTTGAAAAAAAGAAAATTAAAAAAAAAAAAAAAAAAAAAATAAAGACAAGAAATATAATCAAAAATTATAACGATAGCAATATAAAGATGGAGTATATGGTTATATTTGGTAGAATGCTTATTGTTTGAGTGTGGTATGTGGGTGTATATGGGTGTAAGTGTGTTGGTTTTAATGATATATATATTTACTAATTGTGCATATTGCAGTTTATAGAGTAAGCTCTATAGTTTATCTTTTATCTCTTTTAAATAAAAGTAAATTAATATAATAAAAACTAAAAACATCTACATCTCTAAAACAATCACATTTCTATTTTTTTTATATTCACACAAAAAAAAATAAATAAAAAATAAAAAAAATTAAAAAAAATAAAATTTTTTTTTTTTTTATTCATATTTTTTTTTTTTTTTAAATTTTATAAATAATTAAAATTTAATTTAAAAAATAGCAGATGTAAATTTAAAATTATTATTATTAGTAATATTATTAATAATTATTAATTTTTATAATAAGAAATGATGGAACTAGGATTTGAAAATGATGAAATATTATTGAATAATTACAAATTAATTCACCAAAGAAAAACAGAAGATTATAAAAGATTATTAAAGATATCAAATAATTATAACAACAACAATATTAGCAATATTAATAGCAATAATAATAATAATAACTACAATAGCATTATTAATAATAAAAGAGACAACAACAATAATTATTATAGTGATGGTGATAAAGAGTTAGTATCTAAATTTTGGGATGTTATTGTAATCACTGCAATAGACCAATTACAAAAAGAATATTATGAACAGGTTATTTCAGAAAAGAAAAGAGAGAATCAAATACCAGGTTTTGTGAACTACATTGTTATATCCGATCCTATAGGTGAAAAAATAGGTTGTGGTGGATCAACATTATATGTATTAAATAAACTATCAGAAATTTATGAAGGGGATGATAATTTAAAAAAATGTAAGTATAATTATATATATACTAAAATACTATTATATTTATTTTAATTTTTATACTAATAAATAATTTTTCATAGTAAAAATACTACTATTGCATGCAGGTGGATATTCAAAAAGATTACCAAATCATTCATCAACAGGTAAAATATTTGCATCAATACCATATACCTTAGAGAGCGGTTTTAAAGCGTGTTCAATGTTAGAAATCAAGTTGATAATATTAATCGATATTCCAAAAAGAATGAAACCAGGTGTGTTTTTAGCTTGCTCAGATGACATAGAATTATTTGAATCAAAGGACATATCATTCGATGATCCAAGTCATCAAGGATTCATAGCATTATCCCAGCCTGGTACACTGGATATAGGCGTTGGTCATGGTGTGTTTATTCTTGATCAACTAAATCAATTTAAACCAAATGAATTAAATTTATGTAAAAAGTTTATTCACAAGCCATCAAAAGAGAAAATGAAATTAGAAGGTGCAATATTAGATAATGGTTTGGTGTTGGTAGATAGTTGCTATTATTTCGACCACTATGTAACTCAATTATTATTAAAATACTATAATGAAAACAAGCCAATATCTTGCGAAATCGATGCATATTCAGATTTTTTACAGGTAAATATGATTTTATTATTAATAATTCAAATTTTAAATCATATAATAACTTTTTTTTTTTTAGCCATTAGGAAGCAATGCAGAGCCAAATTATTTTAATGTCAAAAGCAATATAACTAAATTTTTACCACATTTACCTAAAGAAAGAGAGAAGATTTATAGCTTATTAAATTCAAGTAGTTGCAAGTTAAATATGATACCATTAATGCCATCCAATTTTATTCATATTGGTACTTGTCATGAATATATTGAACATTTTACAGTCAATTTCCCACGTTTAGGTTTTAATAAAATAGTTTATTCAGTTATAAATAATAATAGCAAAAGCAACCGTTTCAATATAGAAAGTAAATTTAACTGCATACATTCAATATTGTTTAATACTACAGGTATGATTCAAGACAATTCAGTTATTGAATATTGCTCATTTAAAAACATTGACTTAATAATAGGAAATAGATGTATTTTATCAGATTTAGAGTATGACAGCAACAATAATAATACAAGTAAAAATAAAATTGAATCAATAACCATCCCATCAAATACGTTTATTCATACACTATCACTAAATAATAATAGATTTGTAACAATATTGTTTGGAATCGATGATGATTTAAAGACAGCTAATGATCCTAAATTGTTTGGTAAGTCTTTAAAACAAGAATATTCTTTTAGTGGGAAAATATGGCCAAACGAAAATAATGGAAATCCTATTGTAGAGTCACTTTGGAACGCATCCATTTTCCCAATTTCAAACATCTCTGCCTCAGACTCTTTAGAAAAAACAATAAACTCGATACTTAACAACAAAAATTACAGTAATGTCAACACAAACACTGATCAACAACAGTTATATTCCATTGAGGAGTGTCTAAATGAAAAGGACCTATCCAAACAATTCAACAGAAGAAAGAATTTAACAAATGAAATAACAGAATTTTTAAAAACAAAATAAACTCTTTTTTTTTTCTTGTAAATAATAGCTTTTTATTTTTTTATTTTTATACAATTTGTATAGTAAATTAAATTATAATAAATTAAACTTGTGATGAAATTGGTTCAGATATCTCTATTGCGTGTATTGGTACTATTGGAGCATTGACATGATGATATACTAAGGGTGGGGCTTGTCCATGTGTTTGAGGAGTTTCAGGTAGTGATAATGGAGAAGTTGGTAATGGGTTTAGTATAAATGGTGGTGGAGGAGGTGGAGCAATTGGAATAGATACTATCTCCATTGGAGTTGTTGGAGGCTGTTGAGGAGTTTTAGGTGTTACATACTGAATCATTGATTTTTGAGGATGAACTGTAATTTTAACAGTAATATTATCTTTAGTTTTACCATATTGCTCTCCTTCTTTAACTTCTAATGATAATGTTATTAATTCATTTTTTTTATTAAATTTGTCCAATCTTTCTAAAATATTTTTTTTCTAATTTAAAAATATGTTAGTATTTATATTTGTAATAATTTAAAATATTTTAAATTTACTTACAATAATATTTTTAATCATTGATGGATAAAAAGTTCTGTATATCATATACAATGTAACTACATTTAAAATTACCAATAGTGTGCATGTTAAATCCAAAGAGTAGTCGTGATATAATATAAATGGGTAAATGGATCCTATTGAAACAATAATTAAAATAGTGGTAGTTATATATAAATATAGAGGGAAATATGCTTTATTTAATTTTTTTATAAGTTTTTGGTAGGTTTCTTCGCTAACCAAGTGCCCTATTTTTGGTGGATATGCATTTGAAAAGTAATTTCTTGTACTGCCTTTAGGAATTAATTCAATTGAAAACCCATTTACCATGTTGTTTGAAAAATATTGATTTAGATATACATTATCATCATATATACCTATATCATCCTTATAGTTTGGTGATGCTCCATTTGGTGAATGGGATGATGATGATACAGGGGTTATAGGTTCCATAATGCTGGGTGATGGTGTTTATAATTTTATTTTAATTTAAAAAAAAAAAAAAAAAAAAAAAAAAAATAATTAAAAATTGTTAATTTTCTCTAAACTCTTTATAATTTTGTTTAAAAACAAAAGTAACTTAAAATTATAATTTTAATATTAATATTATATTAAAAATAAATATAAAAATAACATAATAAAAACAAGTTATCAAATAAAATTAAAAGAATAAAATAAAAAAATAATACAAATAATTTAAAATAAAAAAATTAAAAATAAAAATAAAAATAATTATTTTTTTTAAATTATTTGTTAATATCATAAAGTTTAATTTCAAATAATTGTTATTAATATTTATTATTTCCATATAAAATATTAATAATCAAATTTGAAACAGTTCATTGACTATACAAAAATTTTAAATTATTATTAGAGGCACCACACATAAAAAAACTAATCACTTTAATATGATTTTATGGAAACTATTTATATGTAGTGTGAGAGTGTGTGTGGGTGGTGGGTGGGGTATTAGATTTGAAAAAAATATTCCTTTTTAATTTTAAAGCTTTAAACATAACAATAAAATATTTTTTTATAATTCAAAAAAAACACTCATTATACCCCCAGTTATAGATAAAATAAAACCCACTCAAATCAATGCCCTTTTATATATTTAGTTTAATTAGATATATTAAATAAAAAATAAAAAAATACTCCCCCATTCAAAAAAAATAATAATATTCTTTGATTACTAATGTTAACAATACAAGTATATTTATAGCAACATTGTTATATTTGAGTGAATTTGGTGTGTATATTTAGGGAGTAAAAAGGATTTGTATGTACCTATTAAAATAGAAATTAAAAAATTAGGTTTATATTATAATAATTTAACTAATTTTAATCATTTTATTTCGGTACTATTATATGATTTATCTAATTATAGAAATAAATATGGTTTTATTTAATTTAAAATAAAATATATTTCATTTATTTTAATGTATTATTATTAAATTTATTATAAATAAATTATTATTTTATTTTAATGTTGATGCTATATTATTTTATTGATTATCAGATATATAATTTTTAATTAGTTCTTGAATATTACGAGTATCTAGAACTGTAGGAGTATTTGAAACATTTCCAAACATTGGTAATAATGGTATAATTGAATTATATAGAGAACGTAAACCAAAACCTATACTACTAACAGGAATATTTCTTTGTTTAATACAGTAGATTGATATAATAATCTCGATGGCTATTAATTTCCAGCCCTCTTCAATGAGGAGTTTTGTATTTTTAATGGATAGTGGTGTTAATGGAGCAGTATCTTCGAAACCATCTGCCAACTGCATACCAGAGTATAAATTTAAAACTGGACCCGCTAAATGTTGAATAGTTGCAATAATGGAAGCTGCTATTCTAACCAATGTAGTAATTTGAGCATGTTGGCTCTGGTCTATTGGTAATGGATCAGCTACAGATGATGGTGTCTTTTTGGTTAGATCCGAAAATTGCTTCCAAGGTAATTTTGTAATTCTTTGACCTAGAATTTGAATACATCTTGAAATCGATTGTCTAAGTGTATCTATAGATAATGAAAGTAAACCAGTATCGCTATTTCCATTGGGAATGGGCATTCCATTATTCTCACTTGTTAAAACCAATGGATTATCGACCGATAAATTAATTTCTTTTTCAAATATACCATAACACCATTCGAATGCAGAGTATGAAGCACCATGAATTTGAGATACGCATCTAAAAGACAGTGGATCTTGAATATATGGAGTTTCTTCAACTTGTTCCCAAAGCTTACTAAAATTTAAAATATTTTGAAAATTATTAGAGCATTGGACTTGACCTGAATGGTTGTGGACTTTACTGACAATCGAATTTAAACTTGAAAGATTCGATCTAAATGCCTCCAAAGAAAATGATGCTGATGTATCTAATGCATTAAGAAAACATGAAATATCATGCAATAGCAATGACCCACTTGCTAGAGTAATACAATTACTATTTATTAAGGAATTTGATTCTTGAAATATTAACTGATCAATTAAATATTTGCTATTATTAATAATATCGGTACTATTATTATTTTGTGAATTTTTTAAACTACTATTGCTGCTTGTATTCATACTATTGCTGTTAATTAAATTATCTATATCAATATCATTATTATTATTTTCTTTACTACTTGTTGAACATTCATCACCATAATCATTATAACTACTGCTATTACTATTGTCACTACTACTATTATTATTGCTATAATTAATAATTCCATAATAACTATCACTGATCATTGGGACTTGTGGAATTTTGCCATTTGGTAAGGGAATTGATTTACCAAATAAACCAAGGCTAGCTTGTGATAAAGGAATTGAATCGGATACACCTAATGGACAATTATCGAGCACCAATGGTAGATTATCTTCTTTTAATCTTCTAACCAATATATCCAATGTTCTTAGTGAAACACCTGAAGTTCCAGAAAACAATAAATTTAATTGAATTAATAATGCTGCTCTAATTAATCTATCGGGTAAATAACTATTTGAAACAACTGATGAGTTTTCAATTATAATATTTTCATTTAAATGATTTGGCATTAAAACTGATCCACTTTGTGGATTATTTGAGAATTGTTGAAATAATTTTAAATTTTCGTGTTGTTGTTGCGATGAATCATTATTGCTACTTAATTCATTGCTAACCCTCATTTCATCACTATTCTCGCCTCCTGCCTCTTCATTGACTTCACCATTTGCTTCATTGTATTGGTTTAAATTTATATTTTCGTTATAGAGAAATTTCTTTATATCAAATTGTTTATTATTACAATTTTCACACCATTTTTCTATTAAATTCTTTCTGTATTCTTTAATTCTTTCTGTTGTTTTTTCGTTTATATAAAAACCTATTTTTTTATTTGCAAATAAAATAACCTGTTTAATACTATAAATTAAATAATTTAATTATTAGATAAAATTCTCTTTCTTTTTTTTGGTATAATGATATTTCAATAATTGCTACCTACCTTAGATTACTTGATGAAATTAAAATTTCAGGTTCCATTTGTTAATTATTAGTTTCTTAAATTATTATTATTATTATTATTATTATTACTATTGAATTTATTATTATTTTTATTATAACAACACTTTATTATTATAATGAATAATTAAAATATGATAAATATGTGTGTATAAAAATTAATAAAAAAAAAAAAATAAAAAAAGAAAAAACAATTAATTAAATAATATGTGTGTGTGTGGTTGTGTGTATAAGTGAATGTTTTATTAATTTCTTTTGAATAGAAAAAAATATTTCATTTCTTTGTTTTCGACAAAAAATACAAATATTATTTTATAATGTTGGTATGTAAAAAAAGTATAAAATATATCTTAATAGTTCTACCCCTATCCATCACCCCCCATAATTTTCTTTTATTTTTATTAAAAATTTTATTTATATAATGTATTGAATTTTTTGTGTTTAAATTATCTGTTTAAATTAAAAATAATAATTAAGCGTCCCCATAATGCAATAAATTCAAAAAAAAAAAAAAATTTTAAAAATTTAAAAAAAAATATTATATTTTAAAATTTTAATTTAATTTTTTATTTTTTGTAATCAAATTGTACTTTTAAATATTTAAATATGAATATTATATACACATTTGGAAAAAGAAATTTAATAATAGATAAAATTTTAAATAATATAGGTGAAACATACCAAATTGAAGATCATCTGTTTTCCACAACCATACGAAATAAAAAATATTTTTTAAATAACTTTAATAATAAAGATAATAATAAAATAAATAATGTAGACAGTAGTAATAATTTTCAATATTTTAAAATATTAAATATTTTAACTACAAATGATACAATACTGATTCAGTTTGAAAATGATGAAATAATATTTCAAAGATTGATATCATTTTCTTTACCCCCAATCGAAATTAATTTACCAATAAAAAAAATCAAATTTATATCATGTGGTTTTAACCACTATCATTTTATAACCAGTGTGTAATAACAATATAATAATAGAATAATAATAAAAAGAATTCTTTTTATTAATCATCAATTTATTTGTTTAGATGTAAATTCAGTTTTTGGTTTGGGTGATAATAATTTCAATCAACTGGGTATATTAAATAAAAAACAAATTAACAATCAGATCAATAACAATCAAACTGGATGGATAGATACCTTACAACCAATTAATTATTTTACTGAAATTGGGTCAAACATAGTATTTATTTCAAATGGAAGATACCATTCAATTTTTATAGATTCTCATGGTAAAGTTTATTCATGTGGTTCAAATGAATATGGTCAATTAGGTTTGGCTCAAGATATTGATAGCTCTGTTGAAAATGGTATAAGAGAAATTACACCAATTACCTTTTTACCTTCAAATGAAAATTTTGTTAAAAGCTCATCAGGGGATTTTCACAACTTGCTAATTAGCAATGAAGGAAGGGTGTACTCATTTGGTTCAAATTCATATGGTCAACTAGGTTTATATGATGAAAGCGACGAAAAAGATGAAAATAATGACCTCACTCAAAACATACCCAAACTTATTAAATCGCTAAGTGACAACAATAAAATAATTGTAGACTCTAAATGCTCAAGCTGCCATTCAGTTTTACTTTCAAATGAAAATCAAGTTTTTACATTTGGTAGGGGTATAAACTATCAACTTGGTCACTCTGATGATGAAACATGCATAGCCCCCACTTTGGTTGATGACCTTTCAGACTATAATATATTATCAATGTCTTGCTCATCCACATCGACACTATTTTTGGATGACAAAAATAGATTATTTTATACCGGAGGTTATTCAACTTTAAATTTTATCAACGACAATAATAATAATGAAATGGAATTCAATATCACCCCTAAACCAATACCCCAAATAGTTCATTTAAATTTTAAACCAAATCATTTACATACACACCATTCAAATTTAAATTTCATTTGGTAAATAAATAATCTAAAATAGTAATAATAAATAATAATAATCATAGCAATAATTAATAAATAAATATTTAAAAAATTGGTGTTGGTGTGGGTCTACTTTAAAAACCAATCACTTTTTTTATTTGAAATAAAAAAATTAATTTTTTTTTTTTTTTAATTTTTTTTTTATTTTTTTTAATTTTTTTTTTTTGGTCTAATTTTATTTTAAAATTTTTAATATTTATATAAATCTTTTTTTTTCAGAAATCAGATAAATCACACAAATACACATATATACAATGGAATTATTAACAGACGATCAAAAGAACGAATTTCAAACATGTTTTCAACAATTTGATAAAGATAATGATGGTCGTTTAAATCCAAAAGAATCAGTTATGGCATTAAAATCATTAGGTGTAAATTTACCAGAAAGTGAAGTTTCAGCAGGTACCGATTTCAATTCATTTTTACAAGTTGTTGTTAGAAAACTTCAAATTACTGATCCAGCTGGTAAATAATAATTATAAAAAAAAATAATAATAATTTTAAGATTTTATATTAACTATTTTTATATTTTTTTTTCAACTCAAAATTGAAAAATTATTGTCAATAATTTTAATAATTATAATTATTAATTGGATATTTAATTTTAATGATGATTAAATAAATAAATAAATAAATAAATAAATAAATAAATAAATAGATGAATTAAAAAGAGCATTCAACTGCTTTGATCAAGAAGGTACAGGATTTATTTCAGCTCAATATTTAAAACAAATTCTTGTAAGTTTAGGTGATATCCTAACATCACAAGAAGCTGATGAATTAATTAGAGATTGTGATACCGATCATGATGGTTTTATTAATTCAGATGAAGCTACTAAATTAATTCTTTCAAAATTAACTTAAAATAGTAATAATTAATAACTAATAATAAAAATGTATAATAATCAAATTAATAATAACAATATAACCAAATATAGCAACAACAATAAAAAAAAATAAAACTATTTATTTATAAAATACAAAAAAAAAAAAAAAGAAAAAAAAATAAATATGTACAATATATTAAAATAGGAAATTTACACACAGACGCACAGACACACACACTTTTTGTATTTATTCGGGATTTTTAATATATATTACTTATAGTATAGCATTTCATTAATACCACATACCATAATATATATTGTTATCACACCATAATTCCATATATATATGGAATATAACAAGTTTTTAATAGAAATTAATTTTATTATAAAGAAAGATAATCTAAAAGAGTTTTTTTTTTTTTTTTTTAGATTAATGATTCATTATTTTATTATAAAATGAAAAAAAATATCATAATTGACACTGTTACTAAAAAAAAATAAAAAAAAATAAAAAAAATATTTGTTTTTTTATTTTATTTTATTTAATTTTTATTTTTTTTTATTTTTTTATTTTTTATTCATTTTATTTAATTCTTTGTGTGTGTTGTATATTTTAAATTTAAGTTTTTTTTTCTTTTTTTCGTTTTTATTTTATATTAATTAATTAAATTAAATTAATAACATATCTAAATATATTATAAAATAATTATTTTTTTATTTTTTTCATTTTTTTTAAATTTCCTTCTAATTTAAATTGCTTGCATTTTTTTTTTTTTTTTTTTTTTTAATTAATAATGCAATGTAACTATGATGTTACAATTAACGAGAATTGTAATAACAATAGTATATTAAATAAAAATGAAACTATAATTCCAAATTTAGATATTGTTGAAATTAAAATAATAAAAAAAGATTTATTGAATCATAATAAAAATGACAATAATATTAATAACAACAATTATAAAGATAACAATAATGATAAAGTAATAAAAAAATATCAATTAGAAAAAATAAATAGCAATATTATTAATAATAATAATTATTTAGATAATATCAAACATTTAAAAATATTTAATAATAAAATAGAAATTGAAATAATAGATATTATAGCCTCACCCAATAACCATAACAATAATAACAATTGTTTGAATAATATATTAGTAGAAATTGGTTCAGAGTTTAGAAAATTAAAGAAAATGGATGAGGCATTAAAAATATATTACATACTTTCAAGATTATCCGAGAACACTTCATCAAAATTAAATAATAATAATGATAATAATAATATTATAGTTTTAATTAATAATCAAAATTCAACAGGATTCTTTTATATGGGTGTTACTTTTTATGAAAATGGTGATAGTAAAATGGCTTTAGAAAGTTATAAAAGAGCATTAGAATTAAATCCGATTTATCCAGAGGCTTTGTGTAATGTTGGTGTAATATATAAGAATTTAGGCGAAATACTACCTGCAATAGAATATTATCAACGTGCTCTACAATTTAATCCAAACTATTTACTGGTAAAGAATAATCTAGCTATAGCATATAATGACCTGGGAACTCAGACTAAAATGAAAGGGGATTTGGTTCAATCCAAACGATACTATAAGAAATCATTGTTTTACAATAGCAAACATGCTGAAACTTACTATAACCTGGGAGTTTTAAATAGTGAACAAAGAAAAATTGAAAAAGCAATTGTCAACTATGAGCTAGCTATTCATTTTAATTCGAATTACACAGAAGCTTTAAACAATTTAGGTGTTATATATAAAGATCTTGACAACATTGAACAATCAATACACTATTATCAAATGGCACTTAAATCAAACCCCAAGTTTTCACAAAGCCTAAACAACTTAGCTGTAATATTCACAATGCAAGGTAAAATGAAAGAAGCAAAGCAACAAATTAAACTTGCAGTTAAAGAATGCCCAAGTTATGCTGAAGCCTATAATAACTTGGGTGTAATCTACAGAGATATTGGAAAAATGGATCATTCAATTAAATCTTATGAAGCATGTATTCAACTTTCACCTCACTCTTTAAATGCGCATCATAATAAACTATTGGCTTTAAATTATTCCACTAAATTTTCAAATAATGAAATTTTTAATTTTCATCAACAATGGGGAAAGCAATATATTGAAATTACAAGAATAAAATTATTAAATCATTTACAGCAGCAACAACAAATACATCAGCAGCATCAGCATCAGCATCAACAACAGCAACTATTACAAAAATCACTATTTAAAAAAGAAAAGCTAACAATTGGATATATATCAGGTGACTTTTTTACCCATTCAGTTAGTTATTTTATTGAAGGAATACTGCATTGCCATGATAAAGAGAACTTTAAAATTATTTGCTATTCAAATGTATCAAAAGAAGACAAAACAACTGAAAGATTGAAATCATACAATCACGAGTGGAGACATATAACTGGCCTATCAGCATTTGATGTTTATGATATAATTAAAAGAGACAATGTAGATATACTAGTAGAGCTATCAGGTCATACATGTGGTAATAGAATGGATGTAATGGTTCTACAACCTGCCCCTATCCAAATTTCATATATAGGTTATCCAAATACAACTGGTTTAGAAACTATACAATATAGACTTACAGATCCTATTGTTGATCCATTAGACACCAAACAACTCTTTACTGAATCTCTTGTTAGGTTACCACATAGTTTTCTTTGTTACTGTCCTCCCCAATCCTCATATATCAACTTTAATTGCAGGTCTACCTCACCAAAAGATCACTCTGGAAATCTTTTACCAATAGGAAACGATTATGTAACACCACTACCAGTTCTAACTAATGGCTACATAACATTTGGTTCTTTTAATATCATGGCAAAATATAGTGATAAATGCTTAAATAATTGGCGAATTATTTTAGAGAAATCCCCACCATCAACAAGACTTTTATTAAAGAGTAAACCATTTGTTTGTGAAAAAACTAAGCAATCATTTCTTAAAAAATTAGCGAAAATGGGCTTCAACACAAGCCAAATAGATTTAATTGGTTTATTTCCTCAACAAAAAGATCATTTACAATACTATAAAATGATGGATATAAGTTTAGATACGTTCCCATATGCCGGCACTACCACTACTTGCGAAGCCTTATGGATGGGTGTACCTGTTGTAACCCTATATTCCCCAAATTGTCATAGTCATAATGTTGGAAAATCAATTTTAACCAATTTAGACATACCATCTCTAATTGCTCATTCAGAATCCGAATATGTAGATATAGCATTATCTCTATCCAAAGATATCGATAGATTAATAACATTTAGAAAAAACCTTAGAATAATAATGATAAACTCCCCATTATGCGACAGTATAAACTTTACTAAAAATTTAGAGTTAAAATATAAAATGATTTTCAACTATCATCATAATAATAACATTGCTCAACATAATAATAACTATCAACAAAATCAAAACAATCAACAACAAAATGATAAATTTTTTTTAGAACAAAATCAACATTTAATAAACCTTCAGCAACAAAACAATTTACAATTTAATAATTTTAATCCTCACCATATTATCATCA